ATCAATTCATGTGAATATGACTGAAAAATTTAATTTTTCTGTAAAAGGTAGTGTCTATTTAATTGTGACCATGCTGTGTGTGTGTATATATATATATTGTTCCCCTTTCTTTATGAAATGATAATAAGCTATACTTATATTATTGGTTTCTTAGAATGGAATTTCAAAGAAAAATGCTCTTATACTTACTACAAAATCTAAGAAATAAGTTTTTCTGATTCTGATATAATGTCTTAAATACAAAATGGCTAACATTTGGAAAATACAACTTGAGTCAAAAATGTCTTAGGATGTAAGGTTTATTTAGTAATATTTTCAAAATATTCATGCTTGGAACCTTAAGTCACTATGTCCTTTATCTAATTTTGGTTAATTACAATTAATCTTCAAGACTAATTTCAGGAATTGATGCTACAAACAAGTTACCTCTTTCATGAGTTTCATGGGTACAGTTTTGATCATTCTACCTAAAAGATGTAAACATGGTAGTTAGTTTTGACCTATACATTACAGCTAGTTTTAATCTCATGGTGAAGACAGTCACAATCTTTGATGATACATAAACGTATACATAGATACAATAATCTATACTTAATAAAACAATGGTGACTTATAATTTACAAAGCTGCAAACCAATTATAAATCTTTATATGAACAAAAAAATTTCAAGTATTTAAGAATTAAATAATAGGGGGGGGGGGGGTAGGTACAATGTATACTGTCTCACCTGTTGATCCTCTATACTTGGTTAAACTGCACAAGAAAAACCTGAGGCTTAACAAGTAATTGAGCCAATCAGTATGATCACAATGATCACAGTTCAAAGTCAGCTGACCAGACAATCAATGGATACATTTCATTTATAATCAGTATTAAATCTTTCAAGATGGTTGAGTGTGGCCAAATGTTGATGGTCAACACCAACTAATACTGAATGAGAAGTGATAACATTTTCATTATTTCTACTACTCCAAGTATAAAAACAAAATTCATTGATTACATCTTAAAGTGAATTTGATATAAAAAAGAAGTGAATGGTTAATACCATAATAAATTTTTCCACTGCCTATCACAAGTAAGTTAAAGCTAATACTTCTTTCTATATCTAAACTTAAAAACAACTTCCCTTTCATTTTGAAAGGTCTGTTAGGTGTGACATTCAAAAACAATAGGAGTTGCTCACGTTGATTGGATTAGCTACTTGACGAACCACTGGACTCTGGTCAACATCAAGATCACATTTCTACTACATACTAGTTTATCAATATTCTCTTTATGGCAACAAAAGTGTAAAATTTCAAAGAGCTTAAACATTATATTTTTAATAACAAACCTAAGATTATAATTTTACTTTTATAAATAAAACAATTTCAAGAGTAAAATATTTACTAGAATTATTAATTTCCTTAATTTAAAGATACATGTGATACACACACACTTGAACTTTTAATCTTAATTCCATACACAGCACATCTTACCTGTAAATCTAAGAATCTACTATATACATGTGTATGTATATCTATCCTATTGCTTCTATTATACTGAAGTGGCCCATGACTTAAATTTTCTTATAATGAGTTAATTATTTTATTATTGAACATTAGAGTAAAATATTGAGTAAAGTGTGTCCAGAAATTAATTTGAATAAATGTTATAATTACGTCAAGACATCCCATACATCTGTAAAAGTGTACTGAACATTATTAAACTCATACAAAGACTAGTTACTGCCACTAACATTCAGATTCACTGGAAGGTTAACATCACATTCACAATCAGAATCTCATGTCGTGTGATTTTTAAAGTTGTGAAATAACAAATTCTATTTTTTTTTTTTTTTTTTTTTATGATTATGGTTGTCTTTATTATT